CCCTTAGCATCAATACTATCCATAGCATCAATACTATCTCTAGCATCAATACTATCTCTAGCATCAATACTATCTCTAGCATCAATACTCTCCCTTAGCATCAATACTATCTCTAGCATCAATACTATCCATAGCATCAATACTATCCATAGCATCAATACTATCCATAGCATCAATACTATCCTTAGCACCAATACTATCTCTAGCATCAATACTCTCCCTTAGCATCAATACTATCCATAGCATCAATACTATTTCTAGCATCAATACTATTTCTAGCATCAATACTATCCATAGCATCAATACTATCCCAAGCAGTAATACTATTTCAAGCATCATAAATATTATATCCAGGATCATTAATACCATTCCCAGTATCATTAATACTATCACCAGAAGCAATGCTATTCTCAGCGTCATCAATGCTATCGCAAGAATCATCAACAATATCCACAGCATCATCAAGACTATTCTCAGCATCAACACTATCCCAAAGATCAATACTATCCTCAGTATAAATATCCCTAGCAGCAATACTTTTCAAAGCATCATAAATACTATATACAGCATCATCAATGCCGTCCTCAGTATTATCAGTAATATCACCAGAATCAATACTATTCCCAACATCAATACCATCCCAGCATTATCATCAATTCAGTACCCAGCATTATTAACAATGTCCTCGGCGTCATCAACTCATCAATATTATTACCATAGCGTCATAGCATCAATAGTATTCCCAGCATCAATACTATACCCCAGCATCATCAATACTATTTCCAGTATCAGTAGTATCGCCACCATCATTAATGTTATACACAACATCATCAATGCTATACCCTGCATCATCAAAGCTATCCACAGCATTATAACACTTTTTCCAGCATCAATACTATCCCCAACATCAATAATATCCCCAACATCAATACTATTCCAAATCTGCAATACTAACCCCAGCATCATCAATACTGTTCCCAGCCAAATCAGTTCTATCCCCAACATCAATGCTGTTCCCAGAATCATCAATACTGTGCTAACCTCCGTAACTAATAATGAACCCCAACATCAATAATGACCCCCCCAACATCACCAATAATGACCCATCACTCTAATGACCCCAACATCGCTAATATGACTCATCACCTAAGAATGACCACATTGCTGTTCATAACATCAACACTACTGGTGATCATCACCTAACATCATCAACAGTCATTAACACAACTCGTCAAATAACATCATCGACACCCCCAGAAGTAACCCCCCCCCCCATATCAATATTGACCATACAAGCGTGGCCAATATCGACCACATATTCACTAAACATGAGGTATATCGACCACATCTTCACCAAACATGAGGTATATCGACCACATATTCACCAAACATGCTCAGATAAGTACCTGAAGAAATACATCACATACTGTACGCGATCAATATACACCGTCGAGATTAGTGTGACGTCCATATATGACGTCTATCCCGCTTCTCTGAATACATACACGGAGTGTACTTAAGTCTTATACAGTGTGCTGAAGTAAAGTATACTTTCTGGTCAGTCAGTAAGGTAATGTATCCCTGGTAACCTGGTAGTGGGAGAGGGGAGTGTATAAATAGCCTAAATTACTCTCTCCCTTTGAGATGTCTTTTATTCATCTCAATAAACGTACTTGAACTTGAACCCTGCTGCGGTGTACAGGTGTTGAGCTCTTCCTAACACCTGGTGACATCGTAGTGGACCTGGTCAAGGCTACGCTGCAGGGAGGTGATGTGCCTGATATTCTAGCAGAATTACACGAGATATTCGTGTAATTTTTCTAAACGAGTTAGAAAACCATTAAGTGTAATGAAACATACTTTTCTAGTGGGCCCTCTGTAGCTGCTAGTAGTCTGCACTCTGGTCAAACAAAGCCTTGAGAATTCACAATTTTATGTTTCGTAAAGCATTAAGCTGCTGTTAATAATCAAAAATAAATAAAACGGTGAATGCTGTTCTGGGCCAGACCGGGGAGCCGGTCGGCCGAGCGGGCAGCACGCTGGACTTGTGATCCTGTGGTCCTGGGTTCGATCCCAGGCGCCGGCGAGAAACAATGGGCAGAGTTTCTTTCACCCTATGCCCCTGTTACTTAGCAGTAAAAATAGGTACCTGGGTGTTAGTCAGCTGTCACGGGCTGCTTCCTGGGGGGTGGAGGCCTGGTCGAGGACCGAGCCGCGGGGACACTAAAAAAAGGCCCCGAAATCATCTCAAGATAACCAGATGGTATGTAGAACACCGATGTGGGGCTCCATTTGAGATGAATCAGAAATTTGATCTTCAAGACCAGGCCGGGAAGAACAAATTTCGATGGTTAATAAGTTAATTGGCGAGATGTTGGCCAGACCAAACACTAGAAGGTGAAGGGACGACGACGTTTCGGTCCGTCCTGGACCATTCTCATCGACTTGAGAATGGTCCAAGACGGACTGAAACATCGTCGTCCCTTCACTTTCTAGTGTGTGGTTTGGTCAACATACTTCAGCCACGTTATTGTGACTCATCGCCTGCTTAATTGGTGAGAATTTAGGTCCAAAGCCAAGCATTTAGTTGTTGAACTGGTGTAGCAACTAAAGTTACTGATGCGGTGAAAATAACGGTTGACTCCTAACCCCGGGGGCCAAGGTCTCCCGACTCGACGCCACTCCACATTCTGCGAAAGTCAAATCCAAGGGGAAAATAGTCTGTGGCCTAAGAGAATCACATGGGGGGCATTTCCAAATTATGAACAATTTTTAGTTTGTTTCTCATCTCCTGGAAAGAAAATGATCTTCGCCAGCGTCTCTCAACATATTGGTTTGGAGAACGCAGTCTCCTCCACCGAGTGAAGGACTTGAGTCAGAGCAACGCCCCTTACTCAAGCATCTCACAAGACACTCGAAAAACGCCCCCCTCACAGGTAAACAATAGGTAATAGGTTCTCGGGAATAACTTACTCATCGTGTGAGACATGAGGAACATTGCTCACCCATATACTCGACGGTCCGAAAACAACGCTTGAACTAATTGCGTAATTATTTATTTGGTTTGTCATATTGTAAATTCAGCTCAAGAAATCGATTTGAAGAGAACGGCTATTCCTCTGCCATAATAATAATATTAATATTAATAATAAAAATAATATTAATAATAAAAATATTATTGTTATTATTAATATTATTATTAATAATAATAGTAATAATAAACATATTAATTATAATATTAATAATACAAATAATAATAATAATATTAATAATAATACTACTACTACTAATAATAATAATATTAATAATGATAATATTAATAATAATAGGAAAACAGTTATATACCTATTTTCGCACCGGGCAGACGCTGTAATTATTGATGGCGAGCTCAAAATAATAATTTTAATAATTTAAACATCAAATCATTATTATTGATGATAATTAGCAGCATCTGTATTGTAACACCTGTGCTGTAATAATGACTCCAGAATCTCCCGTCGTTAACGAGGATAACACGCCAACCACACTGGGAGAAACCATCAGTGGGAGAAGCCATTAGAGGATCATGACTCAAGAGGATCATCTGAAACCTTGAAACAACGTAGATTCCAGAAAGCCACTCTCGTGGACGCCGAATGTTTGCTTAACTCTCCGTTAAGGTGAATGAGGCAAAAGCTTACACCTCCTCCAGAGGCTTCATCATTAACCTCTGCTCCTTCAGAGGCATCCCAAGAAGCTCTTCCTCCAGAGGCTCCTACCTCAAAGGCTCTTCATCCAGAGGCTCCTACCTCAAAGGCTCTTCCTCCAGAGGCTCCTACCTCAAAGGCTCTTCCTCCAGAGGCTCCTACCTCAAAGGCAATTCCTCCAGAGGCTCCTACCTCAAAGCCTCTTCCTCCAGAGGCTCCTACCTCAAAGGCTCTTCCTCCAGAGGCTCCTACCTCAAAGGCTCTTCCTCCAGAGGCTCCTACCTCAAAGGCTCTTCCTCCAGAGGTTCCTACCTCAAAGGCTCAACCTCCAGAAACTCCTTTTGAAATTCCGCCTCCAGAGACTCCTTCAAAGGCTCCTGTAGAGCCTCCTCCTCCTCCTGGATCCTGTCTTCAGCTGGAGGCTCCCCCAGCTGAAGACAGGATCCGCCTCCAATCAGGAGCAGAAGCCTCGTGAACCTCTTCAGGCACACGCTTGGGTCAACACCTTCAACTGACATCAGAATTGTGACTTATAAAGTATTTATGAATATGTGTTTGAGTTCCCATACTGAGGTGAGACAAGGAACTTCACCAGCAGTGACAGTACTATCTGCTTTGTTCCTGGCGGAGGGCAGTGTCACCTGTTGTGTTCCTGGCGGAGGGCAGTGTTACCTGTTGTGTTCCTGGCGGAGGGCAGTGTCACCTGTTGTGTTCCTGGCGGAGGGCAGTGTCACCTGTTGTGTTCCTGGCGGAGGGCAGTGTCACCTGTTGTGTTCCTGGCGGAGGGCAGTGTTACCTGTTGTGTTCCTGGCGGAGGGCAGTGTCACCTGTTGTGTTCCTGGCGGAGGGCAGTGTCACCTGTTGTGTTCCTGGCGGAGGGCAGTGTCACCTGTTGTTTCTCTGAACAACAGTGTTCCACATACCGAACTCAGCTACCTGTTGAATGAGTAACCCAGTTGTACCAGACGAGGGGGCTAGTCCTTTGTACCGTGTACTAGACGGTGCCAGGACCACCTGTAGGGTCCCAGACGGTGCCAATACCTCCTGTGGGGTCCCAGACAGTGCCAGTACCACCTGTGGGGTCCCAGACGGTGCCAGTACCACCTGTGGGGTCCCAGACGGTGTCGGTACCACCTGTGGGGTCCCAGACGGTGCCAGTACCACCTGTGGGGTCCCAGACGGTGCCAGTACCACCTACGGAGTGCCAGACGGACACTAGAGCCACCTGCTATGAACCTAAACCAGCACTAGCTGCTGTTTACCCTGTGCAAGAGGGCGCCAGGCTGGTGTTCACCTAGGGGGCGCCTGACTCACCTGGGGCGTAGTAGGGGAGGGCAGGGGGCAGGGCTGTCATGAAGGCAGGCGGCCTGCTGGGGGCGTCGGAGGTGGAGGGCACGGAGAAGGCTGTGGGGTGGCCGCCGTTGTCAGGGATCAGCATCTGGTGAGACTTGACGCGGCAGGAAGCACGGCGCAGGCGAGCCCTCACTGGCAGGTGTTGTTGAGGCAGGTGAGGACAGAGAAATTTTGGGAGGTGAGGGCCCACAGCGGCTGTGTCGCTCCCACAGCGGCTGTGTCACTCCCGCAGCGGCTGTGTCACTCCCGCAGCCACTACACGCAGCTCTTTAACACAGGACTGAGACCAAAAGTATGGGTCAGTCTGCTAGGTCAGTTCCGCGTCTCAGAGCATCTGGGCCAGCAACTCTGTGGACAACATCACTCCGCGGACTTGGTATATCACGCTCGCCACACGTATGCCGTCTAGGGGACGCACGAACAAGGCACGCACACGAGCGCAGTGGCACCGTACGCACCTGCGACTAACTAGTGACTACACCTGCGCTCATTCGAAAAATATACACTGACTACCTAACCTGACTACCTCCGCCACCTGCTGTTCTTAAGGCACATCGAACTACGATACAGCAAGAGGACACTCGACCTTACTAGCCTCGATAGGCAGGTAGAACAGAAGCTTTGCTCTCATTGGCTACATGGACGAGTCGCCACCCATGCTTCCGCGAGGGGTAATTGGTCGAGGAGGAGAAATGGGCGGAGTTATGAATACGGAGCGGAAGCCACTGGCAGGGGGCGGGGCTTCACCTGGCGGGAAATGAACGAACTTCAACTCGGGCGGCGGCGGCTTGTCACAGCCAGTATGTCACCACCATTGTCACGCCCCCTGGGTCCTGCCGTCACCCCCCCCTCCCCTGGTGTACTGTGTCCCACCATCACCCCTCCCCCGGTGTGTTGTGTCCCACCATCACCCCTCCCCCGGTGTGTTGTGTCCCACCATCTCCCCTCCCCCATTGTGTTGTGTCCCACCATCACCCCTCCCCCGGTGTGTTGTGTCCCACCATCACCCCTCCCCCGATGTGTTGTGTCCCACCATCACCCCTCCCCGGTGTGTTGTGTCCCACCATCACCCCTCCCCCATTGTGTTGTGTCCCACCATCACCCCTCCCCCAGTGTGTTGTGTCCCACCATCACCCCTCCCCCAGTGTGTTGTGTCCCACCATCACCCCTCCCCCAGTGTTGTGACCCACCATCACCCCTCCCCGATGTGTTGTGTCCCACCATCACCCCTCCCCCGGTGTACTGTGTCCCACCATCACCCCTCCCCCAGTGTGTTGTGTCCCACCATTACCCCTCCCCCGATGTGTTGTGTCCCACCATCACCCCTCCCCCGATGTGTTGTGTCCCACCATCACCCCTCCCCCAGTGTGTTGTGTCCCACCATCACCCCTCCCCCGGTGTACTGTGTCCCACCATCACCCCTCCCCCGGTGTACTGTGTCTCACCATCACCCCTCCCCCAGTGTGTTGTGTCCCACCATCACCCCTCCCCCGGTGTACTGTGTCCCACCATCACCCCTCCCCCAGTGTTGTGACCCACCGTCACCCCTCCCCCGGTGTACTGTGTCCCACCATCACCCCTCCCCCAGTGTGTTGTGTCCCACCATCACCCCTCCCCCGGTGTGTTGTGTCCCACCATCACCCCTCCCCAGTGTGTTGTGTCCCACCATCACCCCTCCCCTTGTGTGATGTGTCCCACCATCACCCCTCCCCCGGTGTGTTGTGTCCCACCATCACCCCTCCCCCAGTGTGTTGTGTCCCACCATCACCCCTCCCCCAGTGTTGTGTCCCACCATCACCCCTCTCCCAGTGTGTTGTGTCCCACCATCACCCCTCCCCTGGTGTACTGTGTCCCACCATCACCCCTCCCCCAGTGTTGTGTCCCACCATCACCCCTCCCCCGATGTGTTGTGTCCCACCATCACCCCTCCCCCAGTGTGTTGTGTCCCACCATCACCCCTTCCCCGGTGTGTTGTGTCCCACCATCACCCCTCCCCCGGTGTGTTGTGTCCCACCATCACCCCTCCCCCGGTGTGTTGTGTCCCACCATCACCCCTCCCCCGGTGTGTTGTGTCCCACCATCACCCCTCCCCCGGTGTACTGTGTCCCACCATCACCCCTCCCCCAGTGTGTTGTGTCCCACCATCATCCCTCCCCCAGTGTGTTGTGTCCCACCATCACCCCTCCCCCGGTGTGTTGTGTCCCACCATCACCCCTCCCCCAGTGTGTTGTGTCCCACCATCATCCCTCCCCCAGTGTGTTGTGTCCCACCATCATCCCTCCCCCAGTGTGTTGTGTCCCACCATCACCCCTCCCCCAGTGTGTTGTGTCCCACCATCAGCCCTCCCCCAGTGTGTTGTGTCCCACCATCACCCCTCCCCCGGTGTACTGTGTCCCACCATCACCCCTCCCCCAGTGTTGTGTCCCACCATCACCACTCCCCCAGTGTTGTGTCCCACCATCACCCCTCCCCCAGTGTTGTGTCCCACCATCACCACTCCCCCAGTGTTGTGTCCCACCATCACCACTCCCCCAGTGTTGTGTCCCACCATCACCACTCCCCCAGTGTTGTGTCCCACCATCACCACTCCCCCAGTGTTGTGTCCCACCATCACCACTCCCCCAGTGTTGTGTCCCACCATCACCCCTCCCCCAGTGTGTTGTGTCCCACCATCACCACTCCCCCAGTGTGTTGTGTCCCACCATCACCCCTCCCCTTGTGTGTTGTGTCCCACCATCACCCCTCCCCTTGTGTGTTGTGTCCCACCATCACCCCTCCCCCAGTGTGTTGTGTCCCACCATCATCCCTCCCCCAGTGTGTTGTGTCCCACCATCACCATCAACATGATAATGGTCCAGGACGGACCGAAACGTGGTCGTCTCCTCATCGTCTGGTGTGTGGCTCATCATATCTTCACCCCCCATTATTGTGACTCGTCGTGTACGTATAATATATGTATATGTGTATTTGTATACTTCAGCAGCAGGCGTTCCCTTAAGCATATATGGTATGTTATATATGTTAAATATGACGTTATTGCTGACGTTGTTGATCTTATAACATAACCTCTCTATCCTTCTAACTATTTTCTTACTATCTGGATAAGGAAGAACAATCAAGTTACCGGAATTCATGGTACAGGAACTTTAGTAATTATTGAAGGGTTTATTTTTCTATAACGTTCTGTTCCACTCTGGAACACCTTCTGGTAAAGAATGAATATACAAGATTGATTGATGAAGATGAAGCCACCCAAGAGGTGGCACGGGCATGAATAACCCGTAATGAATATACAATGTTGTTTCAGATTTAGCTGCTCAGGACGAAGTGTCCATGTAGCACGGGCTATGGTGAGCCCGTTATAATGATTGTATGAATATACAAGCGTGTATACATGTGTATTTATCTTAAATATACATGTAAAAAGGTGAAGTTGTGGGGGGTAAGGTGAAGTAATCAAACATAGGGGAAGAAATTGGTGAATAATGGTAAAGGATGCCATTCAAACACTGTGCAAGGCGGTGGGCGGGAGAACTGGGTAGAAATGTCGTCGTTATCCGTGATGAAAGGTGAGGTCTGGGTCTAAGCGTAGGAAAGGTATCAAACGTGTTACTACATATATTTAGGCTGGGTATTTTTTATGAGTATAGCTTTCAGAATTTGCAGTCTTTTCTAGTCAGTGGTGGAGGCCAGGATTGTTGTATTGTCTACTAGCATGTTCCTAGTCAGTGTTGTGTTATGTATACTTTGGATATCGTTTCTAGGGGCAGCAGCTTGTAGATGGCAGGTCAGTCTTCTCGGGAGCTTTGTGGTGGTCATACCAACATAGGTAGATCAAAGGTGACATCCTTCATTGGGGCGTGTAAACTGGAATACCACGTTGGCTTTTTGGAGAGTTTGGTATTGTTTACTGGGGCTGTTCTTAAGTATGAGATCAGCAGCCCTTTTTGATTTGTAATTTATAATGAATTCCAATCTTTGGTCTGGGGCTGTCGGTTTCACTCCATATTGAGTGAAACCGACAGCCCCAGACCAAAGACTGGAATTCATTATTTACTTTCTCCTTGTGTAGGAAAGCTATATCTACTGATTTTAAGTGCTTCTGGTATTCCCCCGTGTCCAAGCTACACATTACACTGAGTGCTCGTACTACTGACACTTTTCTTTTCTTTATTAATATTGAATTCCAGGAGTTTGGACCCGGGACAAAGTGCATGGGGGATGAGAAGGGGTGTGGCATGTTGTCAATTAATCCTTAAAAATCTACAGACAGATCTCCTAGTTAGAGCAAACACTTCTTAATGCACCATATTACAACACCACCAAGAGTACGGGGAGAGACCCAACCAACAGCATAAGTTCTGGTGTTTGGCTGAAATTATGCAGACGTTGAAAGGTAAAATAATAAGAGGCTCCCAGGAGCTAGCCACCTGCGTTATGGTGTTCGAGTACATAGTGAAGCTATAGGAGCTGCATAGCCCAAGAAACACGTTGAAGACTTTTGGAGAGTTAAGACGTGGGGATTACAGGAAGATGAGACTTCCTGTAAGAAGTCCAGTGGGAGAGAGACTTGGAAGTGGCGACAACAGATGTGATGAAGGTATTCACAGGCCGGACACGAGCGTGTGTCACAGAGCAGTTCATCCCATTCAAGATGGTGGGCGAGAAGAGCAAAGCAAACCCTTGGTTCAATAGGCAATGCAGAGAATCTAAGCAAAAAAAAAAGGACTGAATATTTGGAACAGGGACAAGAGAGAGGCACTAAAGAAAAACCAGAAATGAGAAACTGAGAGACAGTTGCAAAACGACAGTGTTGCAACACTTAGAGTCCAACCAACGCAGTTGTGTAGCCACGAAAGGAGGAACAACAACAACACGAAACCTTGTAATCAGGATGAGGACAAGGAGGTAGGTTCTTAATTTATGTGGCAGGTCTGGTCGAGGACCGGGCCGCGGGGACACTAAGCCCCGAAATCATCTCAAGATAACCTCAAGATGTGAGCAAGGGCGCCCCAACATGTCAATGTTTCCTGATGAATTTGAAAGTAATGAAGAATGTAAAACCTAAGAAGCACTGCAGAAGGTTACTGGAAGACCTTGAGGAAATCCAGGAGTAGGTATACATATGGCTTCTAGAATTCAGTCTCAAATGTAAGGAGATAAAACTGGGAAAGTAAGAAAAGGACACACGAGGTATATTGTGTATACACGAGGTATACACACTATACCTCGTGTAGTATATTGTATATTGGTAGGACACACAGAATATTGGAAGCTGGCATACATTAGGATATCATTTAAAATAAAAAGGAATGACACACTAGACAATCTACACAACCTACAGTACACCATTGCTGAAATGTGCAGTGCCGGCCTGGAATCCAAATTTTGTGAAGCACACAACAACATTGTAAAAAAATGCAAAGTTTGGCAACCAAATTATCATCAGAGGTAAATGGGTTAAACTA